GGTCCATATTTAGAATTGTACTGTTTATGAAAACCAAAAGCTACATCTGGCCATTTTATAAATTAAGGTTTTGTTTATATACGCTTTCCTGTTGTTTTAAGAAAAGAAATTTGTTTTGATTATATATTATAAAATTGAATTTAAATTGTATGATAGTCTCGTTGATCTAAGAATGTTTAATTCTGCAAATCTTGAGGCCCTAGATTCGATTCCCGAATCGGACCAAAAACCCAGTAATTAACTGAGTTATCGCGGTCGCAAAATATTCAGTAGCAGCCTAAAGTTGGCTGTTTGCCACGTCTCTCTCTCTCTCTCTCTCTCTCTCTTTGTCTCGGAGATCACGTTAAGTTTTTGATCCCGCAGGATTTCAAGGAATAGCTCTCTATTCCCTTAAGTACCGCACTTGAGTTAGTTTATACATTTGTGCACGATGGTTGGTTAGTCTCCATAGGATTGGTCTCCGTAAACTAAAGATGTTACTAAAAAAGCAAATAAGGGATAGAGCGGTATACAATAATATTTTTTGAAATTATAATTGAATATCCGATTATACTTCACTGACAGTTGTATAAAGTTTTATTCTGGGTTTATGATTGTTCATACACTAAAACTGCGAATTTAATTATTTATTTAATAAAACTGTAACTAAGCCTAATCTGCACATTAAATATTTTTTGGAAAATCTTATTGAAACCGACATTATTATCGATACAGAGGCCGAATCTATGTTTTTAGAATTTTGGTCTATCTGTCTGTTACCGCATCACAGAAAAACTACTGAAGAAATTTTGGTGAAATTTGGTATGGTGATACCTGGTTATCCGGGTCAACATATAGGATACTTTTTACTACGTGAAAATATCTAATTTCTGAGAAAAAATACAATAACTGCAATGTAGGAGTATAGTAATAGGTAAAATCCAACAATTTGCTTTTTGGTCATCTAACGCGAGCGGAGCCGCGGGCAATGCTAGTTTATACTATAAAGTATAAACGTACTTACCAAGTCGTGAATTCTATAATACTTTCTTTATTTAAAATGTCGTGAATTCTAATTGAATGAGTTAATTTTAAACTTGAGGAACTTTGAAAAAATCCCCAGAGATTCTGTACAAGTTAGCGTTTTGTTCCAAAAAAAGTTTTTATGATTTTTCTACTTAAATAACACGAGAAAGAACCCTTGAACTTTAAAAATATAATACACAGGTTGAATCCACTCGAATAACTTACAACAATAGGTTGTGTGAAATATTTTCGCGATTCAATGTTTTCGACAGTTACCCATATATTTTATTAACATTGTATTTGAAAAGAAATTTTTTATTTACATTTTAAGAATTGTTTTTTAACAAAACAGAATCTAAACATTAGATTATAAAAAAATATGATTTTATTATTCAAAAAGTTTATTGAGAGAACTGTAAGTATTCATTTATTTTATTTATTTGAATCAATTTGAATGCTTTAATTCGTTAAGTTTCTTTTTTAATATAAACTAGCGATTCACCCTCGCTTCGCTCGGGTTCGTCTCTAGCTCGCTTCCCCATACAAACTTTCATCTCCATTCTCACCCACTTAAGGGATGGTTTCCGGGATAAAAACTATTTCACTCACTCACTTTTCATATTATGAGATTTAAAAAAAATCTTATTTTTTTTAGATTCAATTCAATTATATACTAAACAAACTACGATAGAAACAAATACAGCTTACACATGGTTTAACATGTGTTTGTAACACTAAAAGGAAGCTGATTGATGAGTTTGTTGAAATATTTTCTTCATTTCCGCCAAACGAAGGAAAAGTACCAACTCGTTACTTATATTTCTACTAACGACTCACACTCGCCTCGCTAGCACTGAATACACTGTAGGCCTCTGTATCTATCCTGTATTTCATCTAACATGAGCTGGAATTAGTACTAGTAATTTATTTAATGTTACTTGTCATACCCAAATGTACATACATATGATCAAGCCTGCCGTAATTATGTATTTTTACACTCTAAAATATTCTTGTAAGTTGGACCAATAGTCCTTGAGCTATAAGCGAACAGACAGACAGACAGGCAGACATACATGTTTTACAATACATACATAAGTATGCATATTGAATGTCTTATATCATTTAATAATAGTAAACACTCAGTGATATCGAAACGTGTGTGTTAAGCTGTTACACTTAACCCCACACTTTGCTTAAATAGACTTGGATGAACAGTAATACAAACGAAAATCAAACCAGGATCTACAGATTTGTAGATACCATTTAAATAATTTCACACTGCACCAATATAATATCAAAATATTGTGAAGTCAAAAGAACTTACAACAAAAAAATTATAAATAAACTAGCGACTCACACACGCTTCGCTCGGGTTCGTCCCTAATTTGCTTCCCAATATAAACTTTTATCCCATTTTCACCCCCTTAAGGAATGATTTCCGAGATAAAAAGTATCCTACATCCTTCCCAAGGTCTCAAACTATATTCTTACCAAATTTCATCTAAATCGGCTCAGTAGATCAGGAGATTACCTCATACTACCTCACAAACTCACAAACTTTACCTCTTTATAATATTAGAATAGATTGCATTATTTTACTAAGTTTCGCCAAAATATCGTTCAACTCGGATTAGCAATAGGTCATAATCTATAATTAATTATCATGTCATCAATGTGGAAATAACGTGTTATACTTTAGTAATATTTCTATTTTACTATCTGGCTAAAATGTGCCATTAAAAATGTAGGCCACATATTCAAAACTTTGCCTTTATGTAATGTATTGCTTTGAACCCCGTCGCTGTAAACAAGGAAGTTACCGACAAATAGTGTTCATACCTTGACCTATATACTCGTAGATTATGTCGATAGCAATACATTAATATATTCTGATCGCTTGCGCTTTATTTAATATTATATTGTTTGGGGGGTTGACCATAGACTCTAACAAAAACTAGCACTTGAAAGCTTAATATTTCACAAACGGATCCCTCAATCAGAAAATTCTTTTAACAAACCCACAATATTTTTGAAAGACTTATTCTAAGAACATCCCCATTTTACGTGTAGAGGAAGTACCTACACAATTTTTTTTTTAAGTTTTTATTTATGACTTTGTCGGCATAACTAATAAGTATATTCACGCCAAATTACAGCTATCTAGTACTAAGAGTCTCTGAGCTAAGCTGCAGAAAGATGGACATGGCGAAACCATTAAGGGTTCGATGTTGACTTCGGAATCCTGAAAATCGCCTTAACTGTTTTCTGTTTTCATAATAATATGTATTTAATTTTTTATTCACTAGGGAAAACAGATCGCTCAATGATAATTTATACATATAATAAAATTCTAACTGAATCGAATCTGTACATTATATATTTTTTGGAAAATCTTATTGAAATAGACATTATTATCGATACAGAGTCCGAATCTATAGTTTTAAAAAAAATTTGTCTGTCTTGTCTGTCTGTTACCGCATCACGAGAAAACGACTGGACAGATTTTTTGATAGCTGGTTATCCGGGTCAACATATAGGATACTTTTTTCCGCGGGAAAATATCTTATTTCTAAGAAAAAATACAAAAACTGCATTGTAAGAGCAAACTAATATGTAAAACCTAAGAATTTGGTTTTTTGTCATCTGAACGCGGGCGGATGCTAGAAATCTAATAAAAGAATAAAGTAATAGAGTTATATCTGACGCTAGTAAGTTTCTGCGATAAACAAGATACAAGAGCAACGCCTAATTTCGTATCGATGCATTGATATATTAATTATTACAACAAAGTACTACTGTTTATACATAAATTAACAAGCTTTTTGATAACGACACCTGACTTAAAACAGATGAAGGTTGGCCTTGATCGTAATCTTAAATGACACAGGTGTAAATTAATTGGAAAATTTGTCTAAATAAGGGCGAAATTCTTATGTCAACGTTTATATGTGGCAGTCCAATAAAAATAAAAAACTTTTATGCCTTACAAAACGACTTTTAAATAATTGTCAGTGGATAAAAAAGCTAAACAAAATTATTAAAGTAATACTTTACGTTACGTTACTTGAGGAATACATAATATATAGTATGTACTAATATTTTACTATTTTTTTGTACATATAGTCTATTTATCAAAACGGATATGCTATAATTGAATTTGTCTTACAATTTTCATGTTGGTACTTACAAAATTGAACTTCAGTTTTCGAGCGTCATCCTTAAATATTTGTTCCATTTCATAACACAGACAATGTGATGTTATTAAAGTTTTTGATACCCTTCTTTCTTTTTTCTACTGATGAGATTTGAAAACTTTCTAAAGTCAAGCTCTAAGCTCAATATCTCTAAGGATCTTCTGACCGATATCAGTCCCGGCGGTTAATCTCACTAAAAGCGGCCGAGTGCACTAGGGATGTTATTGTTCAGAAATTTCACTTCCTATTCACTCTCAAAATCAGAAGGAATGGCAATTCGACACGAGGCGTAGGACCAAGCTTTACGTTCTCTCCGAGGCATGTAGTGAAACACTGCCAATTTTCCAACTCGTCCTGAGTTCCAACTCAGGACTGTTACTGAGAATTTTTAACTGTAAACCGCAAAACCCGACCCGAGACTCAAACACAGGATCCCCGGTTAAATTTAGCTGTATACAAATCATCACGAATGGTTTTATCACTGGATATTAAACGATTCTCTAACTACTTTATTCGTAAAATAAAGAAACTGATTTTCAGAAACATTTTAATCACTAATAATTATCTCTTGTGACATGGCTCAGTGAACAATCAATTACTATATCGCATTTCTCTTCGCCGGGCGCCAGTATGACGTTTTCATTGTTAGAATAACATACGATTTTACAGCATGGCATTTTTCTTGGCATTTCTTGAACAATCTTACCAAGTAGCAGTTTAACAAGAAAGATATAAAATATAGTGACCTATAGTGCTGTGACCAACATTGTGATGACTCTTGTGCTAAATATCAAGTGAACAATGATTCGAGCGTTGACTTCTAGACGATGGTCGTTACGTCGGGAAACCGAGAGGTGAGAGCAATAAAATTACCTAAATATAATATATATTATGCCAAATATTTCGATTAGTATGAATAAATGATTTTAGAAATATGTAAGTTCGTACTTTATTAAAATAATTAGGTGGATATCATCAAATAATACTTGTATAAACTTTAGTTTAATAATAACTGATTGTAAGTCCTTTCCCAGGATAAATGGATTCTTTATTCATTACTTATCTATACATATAATAAAAGTGTAACTGATCGCTGTCTGTATATGGAAGATATTTGAGAAAAACTATTATTCGGATTTTTATTAACGCAATGGAACCCAAAACTATTATTTTTAGCATATTTGTCTATGCGTTTGAACGCGCTTATCACAGAAACGGATAACCGATTTTGGGTGCGGTTTTCACTTATGATTTGTTATACTCATACTCTTGTACGAATTAGAGACTTCGTTCATGATAAGAAACTATAACACGTTTTCTTATCAAGCAACTAGAATCTAGATACCAATAGTTGGAATTAAAGATGCAGTTTTAATTATATTGTTTCTGATGTTCTAAAAATATTATAAATGTAGCTCTATTTTCGCTTATTCTTCTTCGATTGTTCGATGCTGTTTGTGAGCACTCCGTAAAAACTCCCAAATATTTTTTGTTTAGTCGAATATGTTGAGACATTTTATATGAAAAATACTTCAAGTATGTTTTGTGTGTACTTAGACTTTCTACATAGTTAACATCAGCCTTTTTTTTATTATAATACTTAGGTATATTGGATTAAAGAATTACTTATTCTTTACACCCTGCCCTTTAAAAGAAGGACAAAGGCTACGACCTTACTTGTAAAGCTGTAATTATTAATTGTAATGCTGATACTATTATTGCGAAGCACTTCTATTTATACGTAATTATCAGAAAATTAACCAAAATAATTAAGTAGTTGATTTCTATTTCGAATTCATTAAACACAAACGACTTATTACTCTTTGAACTATAATTATAAAGTAAAAATTTAATACCCCCCTGCCCACATTAACTGTCATATAACGATTACACTGGCACGCGTGAAGCACTTAATCGAGTAATCATACGCCAAAATGCCTTACATCATTTTGGAAAAGAGTTGATATTCTTACACTGCTCGACCGATATTAACCAAACAGAGCTAAGAACCACCGCAAGGAAACTGGCTTTCAAATGAATAAAACCGCATCGAAATCGGTCCATCCGTTTAAGAGCTACGATGCCACAGACAGAAATCGACGTCAAACTTATAACATCCCTCTTTTTGCGTCGGGGGTTAAAAATCACTGCGAACATTAATTAACTTATTTATACCTGAGTCCTTATAAGGTTGACCTTTAGAGAATATATTAATTTTTCTGAAAGAGATCGTTTTCATTATTTATTTATTTATTTATTTATTTTATTAGGATCTCCAACGTTAGTACACAAAAAACTTACACTAATACATTAACAATACTTAACCTATATGCACTCACAATTATAGGAGAGCACAACATGCTTCATATTTTATAAAAATATCTTAAAACTTTACATTATATTAAAGAGTTTACTTAATTTTTTTAATAACAATAATTAGTATTATTTTTTATTAGTATAAAAAAGAACCTTAAGAATAGAATACACAATTTACTACAAATATTATATCGTACTGTAACAATTCTCACATTTTTTGGTAAACGCTGACAGGCTATCATGCCCTATGTCTAAGCCCGAGTCATGGGCCTCACACAAGTTATATGCTATCGACATACGAACCAGCGGCGCGTTTCTACCTAATTTAGTTTTACAAGCACCATATGTAAAATATGCACGTTGGTGCCTAGGCGGCGCGTGAGGTACATTTATACATAGCTCATGTAATAAATGCGGACTGTCAATACCGTTATTAAATAATTTATGTAAAAATTTTTGGTCTAGTATAGATCTACGAGCATACAGCGATTTTCATACAATCTATATAATATCATGTTATGTCATCCAAATTATATTTTACAAAGCCGTGATATCAAAGGGCCTCGACGTATAGAAGTAATCCTTATTATGTTTAGTCAAGACCCTTATTTTGGCATCTAATTTATTTTTCTTATATTTTGGTAAATACATCCTCTTTAAAATATGTATGTATAAGAATTTTATTTTAGTGAAAATACTTATTGATGCTGCATTTTATGAGCTTATTATGAGCTGAGCTTATCTAGCTTATCTATATGACGAGTTTCTGCAATGTTTAGATGAAAAGTTTGCAGTTATATTATGTATATTGCATTATATTAAAGAATTTGTCACAAATAATACTCGAATACGCGTTTTTAGGGTTTCGTACCCGAAAGGTGCCTACGGAACCCTATCACTAAGTCTCCGCTGTTCGTCCGTCCGTCTGTCAAAGAGTTGTATCTCATGAAAGAAATTGTAATAAATTTTCAATATCTATAACGGTATAGATATTGAAAATTTCTAACAATTAGAGTCGAAATTTTCACAGAGTATTTATTTCTATTGACGCTATAACAACAAATAATAATATATATCATGGTACGGAACCCTTTGTGTACGAGTCCGACTCGCAGTTGGCCGATTTTTCATTTTATGGTTTCAACTTTCAAGTTATAATGTTTCAAGGGGTCTAAGGACATTAACCTTTGTGAGTCTTTAATTGCAAAGGGTTATATTAATTATAAGTATATAATATTTTACTGCTTGTCTATTTGTCATATATGTATGTTGTAATACGTGCAATCAATGTTAATTATGATTATACTTCTATCTGGAGTTGGATCTCCATGTACAATATTTGCGCTAGAAACATGTTCTAGGCTGTCAATGTTGCTATCAGCCTTCATCTCCTTTGATACCAGTCCTGGTTGGGCTTAGTTCTGATAGAAGCTAGTCTTCCTTTTCCTCTGCATCGATTAGGTATGTGTAGGGCTTTCTTAATGGAGCAGTCGCGTACACCGTCATCATATAGGTACATATTTCTTCTAAATCATAAGTTCCATTTATCATTGTCATCATTTTCTCCAAAACTGGAGTATTCCCTTTCACGTTCGTGCATCTAAATTTAGTTATGTAGACATTTATACATATTATAAAATTGTAATGAAACCGAATCTGTACATTAAATATTTTTTGGAAACTCTTATGGAAATAGACACAATTATCGTTGCAGAGGCCGAATCTATATTTTTTAGAATTTTTATCTGTCTGTCTGTTACCGCATCACGGAAAAACCACTGGTAGGATTTTGATGAAATTAGGTATGATGATAGCTGGTTATCCGGGTTAACATATAGGATGCTTATTACTGCGGGAAAATATCTCATCTTTGATTAATCTGTAGGTGCTAAACGGTAAAACTTAAGTAGGGACAAACCTGAGCGGAGTGAGGGTGAGTCACAAGTTGAATATGAGATCTAAAAGGAGAGTGATTAATCTTTAACAGGACGAAACAACATAATATAATTTCATAATTATGGTAAATGCTGATAAGCTTAATTTGTTTACGGCTTCGCACTATTTTCTGTATAGGATAGATAAGCAAGCTTCACACACAATTGCTCTCACTATGTTAACGTCCGTCGGGGTCTATTAAACATTTAAAGCACGAACGAAAATACACTCGTGCCGTAACAAATATTTATTAATTACTATAAATATTGCCCCAATAGAGAATCGAATCTGTGATGTAGAAATATTATTACGGGTTTTCGTAACAATAGACGTTGTCCCAAACGTTACGAAGTCGATCTTATTAACTGGGCTAATATTTGTAAACTCTTTTTTTATTAATACTATTTTTTCGAGACCTCATGTCTCCCGAGATCATGTGTGATGTAAAGAATTCAGAATATCGGAAACTAAAAAAACTAAATAAAATGGCAATAATATAGTTTTATTTAAATTGTCAATTATCGCTTGAATCAAAGTAAGTATTAACTGTAAGATTTATAAATACACTCATCACTCGCAAGTATCAAACCTGCCGCCTACATTCGGGACATACCAATCAATACCGCTGTGTCGGTCGTTTTTAATTTTGAAAGCTTTTTACACATTTTCATTTTGTTAACAGTATTATATTTATACCTCGAAAATATATGTATTCTAGTGGAACTCTACTACTCCCGCGTTCAATCTACAAAAAAAAAACTCTTTGGCTCTATGTGTTCACCCTCGCTTCGTTCGGGTTCGTCGCCATGTATAATATTGTTTATACAAAAAAACTAAAATCGCGATAAAAATGGGAGGGATGTGGGGGGGGGGATACTTTACAACCTATTCTCATACCTACCAAATATCCAAAAAAAATATTAGAAGATTACGCAGTACATAGTTGAAAGTTGTGGCTATTAAAAATATCTCAGCAATATTTTAAAGTATATTAATTTGTTTGGTCGTGCTCGACACGTGTCGATCGTGCTATCGTTTACCTCTTATCTATCTATCTGCATTATCTACTTAAAAAAAAAACAATAATCTTTCCTAGATTTTTATTTTATTTTCACAAATCTCTTTCAGGAATATATTATTTTATAATGCAAATGTAAATAGAAAATAAATTAACAGTGTTTATATAAAATCACAAGCGTAATACCAAGTAGCTCTTTAACATAATATTATTGTGAATGCAAATACCTGAATATTTGGAAGCTTACTAAGCTTTAAATATGATAATATTCTTTAAACAACGCATTTTTATTTTACTAAAGAGCATGAAAAGCTTTCACATCATTTGTATGTACTCGTATGTTAGAGGTTAATATGTTTAAGAAATGCTTAGGTATATAAAACCACTATTTAAAAGCAATAGCAGGTAAAGTTCATACCTTCTAAGCTTTTTTTATGATAACGATTCAATATTGACGATACGATTGATAATACAATTTATACAAGATAAATAAATTCTTGTCTCTTGTACAGCAAAATTGTTAATAAAAATAACCTTGTAGACTTTTAAAGCGCTACAGTACTAGCTACTGATACTTTTTTTTGC